TTGTGTTTCACAACCTTAGGGGATACGATTCACATCTCATTATGCAAGCTATCTCAAAGACCGACGGCGGTTTAACGTGCATTCCTAATAATATGGAAAAATACATATCGTTCTCGTTGACTAAACCTATACATTATAGGGACAAGGATGGGAAATCTAGAATAAAGCAAAGTAATGGGCTTAGATTCATAGACTCCGTACAGTTTCTGTTATCTTCCCTGGACAATTTAGCTAATGCGAACAATCCCGATGACGTTGCGATAACAAATAAATATACCGATAAGATAACACGTCATTTGTTGCTGAGAAAAGGTGTATATCCTTACGAATATATGGATGATTGGTCTAGATTCGAAGAAACTGAATTACCACCCCTCGAATCATTCTATAGTAACTTAACAGAATCTAAAATAACAGATGCCGATTATGAACACGCTCTGACGGTGTGGGATAAATTAGGTTGTAAGAATTTAGGCGATTATCACGATCTGTACTTAAAAACCGATGTACTGTTACTCGCCGATATATTCGACATATTTAGAAAGACATGTTTAAAACAATACGGCTTGGACCCGCCATGGTACTTTTCCAGTCCCGGACTATCGTGGGATGCATTGTTGAAGAAGACCGGCGTAGAACTAAAACTACTCACAGATTACGATATGCACTTGTTTATTGAGAAAGGATTAAGAGGTGGTATATCGATGGCAGCGAAAAGGTATTCTAAGGCTAATAATAAATTAGTGGAAGGATACGATCCGAGTAAACCTGACACGCACATATTATATCTCGACGCTAACAATTTGTACGGATAGGCTATGAGTCAACCTTTACCCACAGGTGGTTTTGAGTGGGTCGATGATATCGAATTGAATGATATCCATAATATCAATGTGAATGATGCGAATAAAGGGTACATACTAGAAGTTGACTTGGAATATCCTAGTTCGTTACATAAAGATCATAACAGTTATCCGCTAGCTCCCGAAAGATTAATGGTAAATAAAGATTGGATGTCGGAATATCAACGCTCCTTGATGGGTAATAGTAGGTTAGCTAACGTAGAAAAACTCGTACCAAATTTGATGGATAAGACAAAATATATAGTTCACTACAGAAATCTCCAGTTGTATCTATCGTTAGGTATGAAACTTAAGAAAATACACAGAGTTCTAAAGTTTGGTCAAAGCTCTTGGATGGAGCCCAAAATAAGGCTGAACACAGATTTAAGAAAGATAGCTACCAGCGATTTCGAAAAGAACCTGTATAAGCTCATGAATAACTCAGTATTTGGTAAAACTATGGAGAATCTAAGGAAGCGTGTTGATGTTAAATTAGTCAGATCTAATGAGGAAGAAAGACTCAGGAAACTTATAGCCAGTCCGGCTTTTAACAGAAGCAAGATATTCGATAACGACTTAGCCACGTTGCATATGCAGAAGAGTAATATAAAATTCAACAGACCGGTGTACGTCGGTATGAGTATTCTCGACTTGTCAAAACACTTAATGTATTACTTTTATTACAACGAACTTAAGAAGCAATACGGCGATAGATGCGAGGTGTTATATACCGACACAGATTCTTTGTTGATGGAAATACAAACCGAGGATGTGTATAAAGATATGGCAGAAAAAATAGATATGTACGACACGAGCGATTACCCTAAAGATAATCCACTGCAAAGCGTAGTAAATAAAAAGGTGTTAGGTAAGATGAAGGATGAATGTGCTATAGCGGAGTATGTCGGATTAAGACCGAAGATGTATTCTATAAAGAAGTCCGATAATGGAGAGATAAGAAAGCCAAGGGCGTTAAGAAGTATGTGGTAAAAAAGCATATCAAACACGAACAGTATAAAGAATCGTTATTCAATGGTAGAACGTTCAAACACGAGATGAACTCTTTAAGAAGTTAACAATCATAGGATATACGGATTAAGAATGAACAAGACATCATTATCCCCCTTAGATACAAAGAGATGGATTGATAATGATGGTGTAACTACCTATGCTTATGGTTATGGTGGTAATACCGTACCGTCGGGAACTATGAACAACTCTTCTCGTACAAATGCCCTACCCGGTCCATCTTGAAGATAATAAAGAATAGGCTCTCCTTCTTTCGTAACCAATCGACTAATGTTATACGTCTTAAGGGACCATATGGGATCGGTTTCACGACGTAGGCCTCCTTCGAGTTCACCTGCCTGGTATAAATTTCTTACCCTTACTCTATCCGGAAGTTTTCGTTCTTTGCCTCTCCTCGGTGCTGAAGATTCGGAAGTCACGGATTTCATTTTAATAGCATCGGATGGTTTCTTCCCTATTAATCTCGTTACTTCATTATTCAGCGCTGATACAACGGCTGATAATCGTGTCACCCATTCGGTTGATCTCAATCGTTCCGATTTCATTTCGATCCCATACTGATAGCCAAACAAACGTTCCGCTAATGTCCTGTTAAATCTTTCGACGATAGCTTGACTGCGGTGGGCCTCTCTTTCACCACGCCTGATTTCGACATTGTGCTTTGTTAACAGTTTTGTTATCGATCCCATAAACTCGCGACCGGGATCTACTTGAAATTGCTTAAGCCATTTTAGCGGTCCGCGTTTATATATGCGACTCAGTGCATTAGCTACTTCTGTTGAATCTTTCGAGGTTAATGGCTCTGCCTCTTTGTATCGACTAGCCACATCCACTACTGTTAAAGCGTATTTATACGTTTTGCGTTTTACCTTATCGTGGGGAAGAAACAAGAGGTCAGCCTGATGAACTTCATTCGTTGTAAAAATATCAAACTTCTTCCTCGGTATATAACGCGGTGCCGGTAAGTATATTTGCCACATCGCTTGTTTCTTCAACCTATCCTTGGCCACATCTTTAGATACCTTAGCCGCAGTGGCTAATTTTTTTATTGCTCCTATACCTTTCCAATATCCTCATGGGCTAAAGTAAATTTTATTCATTATTAATTAATATTGATATTTCTTTTAAAACGACTTTCGTTGAATCGCATCATCATTTTTATACTAATAGAAGCAATGATTGGCCCCAGGTATTGGTGAGCTAGAGTCAATTTAACTTATCCTCATGACTATCATTGAATCGCATAATCATTTACACATAAAAAATTCCACCTGTAGTAGCAGTATAGGTATATAAATTATAGGTATAAGTGGAGTTGCGGCAGAACCATCATTACCTATACTACTCCTTCTGTATACAGTGACATCCTTCCCTTCTGTATACAGTGACACCCTTCCCTTCTGTATACAGTGACACCCTTCCCTTCTGTACACAGTGACATCCTTCCCTTCTGTACACTGTGACACCCTCCCTTCTGTATACAGTGACACCCTTCCCTTCTGTATACAGTGACACCTTTCCCTTCTGTATACAGTGACATCCTTCCCTTCTGTATACAGTGACACCCTTCCCTTCTGTATACAGTGACATCCTTCCCTTCTGTACACTGTGACACCCTCCCTTCTGTATACAGTGACACCCTTCCCTTCTGTATACAGTGACATCCTTCCCTTCTGTATACAGTGACACCCTTCCCTTCTGTATACAGTGACACCCTTCCCTTCTGTACACAGTGACATCCTTCCCTACTGTACACTGTGACACCCTCCCTTCTGTATACAGTGACACCCTTCCCTTCTGTATACAGTGACACCCTTCCCTTCTGTATACAGTGACATCCTTCCCTTCTGTATACAGTGACACCCTTCCCTTCTGTATACAGTGACATCCTTCCCTTCTGTACACTGTAGAACCCTCCCTTCTGTATACAGTGACACCCTTCCCTTCTGTATACAGTGACACCCTTCCTTTCTGTATGCAGTGACATCCTTCCCTTCTGTATACAGTGACACCCTTCCCTTCTGTACACAGTGACATCCTTCCCTTCTGTTTACAGTGACATCCTTCTCTTCTGTACACAGTGACATCCTTCCATTCTGTACACTGTGACACCCTTCCCTTCTGTATACCGTGACACCCTTCCCTTCTGTATACAGTGACATCCTCACCTTTAAGTGACATTTAGTGATGTTTATGACACATATATTTGTACCTATTCAAACACTGCTAAATGTTACATTGAAACGTGACACTAACATGTTCAGTTATAAACCACCTCAAAATCTAAAACAGAGTAGGTTTTTCTCCTAAATATATGGTAATCATTGCTGTTCACATGAAGAAGTCAACAGAGGTGTGTGTGACACTGGCCTAATAACACAGCATCTGTGATGAGTAACTGTACTATACTTTACACTTTTGCCTTTGATTCCTTCATCAATGGAGAGAGGTCATTTTCATAGCTGTTTGATGGTCAATTATCAGAGTTGCTTGACATTGTATTTGACAGTGCAATGATTAATAGTGCAATGACTCATACTTGCACCTGCACGAAAGTTTGATTTCTGCCTACATGGTAAGCATAAAGACTGATTGTAGTGTTGGATTCACATTCCAGCCATAACCCGTGTTTCCTGTCTTCTAAGTGTACAGACAGGACATCATCAGCATGAAGCATGAAGTGCCTGCTAGATCCCTAGAGTCTAAAGAGCTGTACTGAGACAGTTGGATCCCATGTTTGTATACAAATAAGTAATGACATCATATGATGGGATTTATAATGGTCTGTCGTTAGGCAAAATGAAGGCATTACCAATGTACAATGACCTGCACTTCACCTGATGACTTAATTGTTGGTAATTTTATTATAATTCTATCCATTTTATAATGTATAATAGCTTTGCATGAACAAATTCAATACAATAGCTGTGAAAAGATGAGATATTGCAGTGACTTCACACAATAGAGATATCTTTGCATTGTAATTATCATATGATATTATGAATACATACTGAACAAAAAAGTTAGAGATCATGAATATATTTAGGGATAGTTTTTGTAGTGAGGAATGGGCACAAATTTCATAGGAATATCCCAAAACATTTTTGTTCAGTTTATATAAAAATTCACCTCTCTTTGTTGAGATCATAGTTGCGTCTTCGGAATGTGGCAATAACAGACTGAATCTCTTTGGAGAAGTGTTCGTGTGCTGCTGCCATCTGCTGGGCAAACTCGGCAACTGCAATACCAAAACAAAACAAGTTCAGATGTCAGCTGTACATTTCCTGAGGGTACAACTAACTCATGTACGCCAACCCATAAATTACTGGAAAGAAAACCATGGTCGCAAAATATTTCGTGGACCAATGGTATAATGACTTTCACCTATACCAATTTTTCAAAATTATTGATCTAATTTGTGTCTTGTCGTATCATCTCATCCTTGATAAAGTTGTTCATGTTTACTATCCTGAAATTGTGGTGTGTTAGAATGGATACTGTCATAGTATTTCAACTAATACATAAAATTTGCACTGGTGTCCATTGAAAATGAACATGCAACACAAACAGTGATCAATCAGTGTAAAACAACAGATGTGTGTGATATCAATAAGGACACACTACTCTGCCTAATGATAGTTCCTTCCTGATAAATAAGCCGTGTGAAGCAATCCCAGGTCATAAGTTGAGAACTAGACAAACACTTAGTCTCTGAAAATATATAATATTCATAGAAACAAACAATTTTAAAATGAAAAGGAGCTCTTGTGTAAAATCTAGACTTGCTTTATTCAGGGCTATAGCATTATAGTAAGGGCTGGGTAGAAGGGGAAATAATATGGTTCAGGAACTGAGACAGATTAGAACATCTGCCTATTCTTTTCACATATGGCATCATGACACTAACACTGAATTTATGTCAAATCTATATTATTGTTAAGTTTAACTTACAAGAAGCATGCAGGTTTTACTTTTTACTTTACTCCACATAGACACCTATATATACCTCTCTTGTGGCAATACAATACTGAGGCTAAATGATCATGATAAAAAAGCAAGAAGAAATAGTAGGAAACCTGCCACAGAAACATGGCTACGTTTCAAGCATCCAGGGGAGCAGTGTTTCATCCTTTCAATCATAACTGGTATTTGCATCCACACATAATGAAGCCCTAGTAAATAGGGTGATCAATAAAGGTAATATCAGGTTCTTGATGGAATCATGTGGCAGCCATGCCCCCTGCTTGTCACACCAATAAGGTCTTTGTTTAGAAGATTAGCTGGTGACAGGAGACCCCAGCACTTGGACAGCTGGCTGGCCCACACTCCTGGACAGTACATACTGTGGGACACAACCAAATGTCTCAATACCAGCACTGAGGCAACGGAAATGGAACGGGGATTGATTACAGGGATTTGAAGTTTGAGGACAGAAACCTTGCTTTGTGTGTCACTGTCCATATTGGTCCTAATGCTTTATATTGCTCAGCAATGCAAAAATACCATATGACATTCAATCAAACTACATTCTCTAGTCAGTCAATTTATTTAACCTAGTAAAATGTTTGAGAGATGATCTGAATTCTTAGAGGGTCCTGATTAGTTAAAATTAAATACAACAGTTGATATCCTCCTGGGTTCAATGTTGAATCTCAAAAGAATGAGAGCCTGAAAAGGGTTTGAGGTTGAGGTGGGAGTCATGTTTCCTCCTGGTTGTGTTTCTGCTACCATCTCACGTTCACATCAGTCAGATCATACAGCAGGGGTGGTTCAAACATTCTGAGCCCAGAGTGAGATGTGAAGTACACCTTAACAGTTGTCATGTAGAAGTACAATGCTCATAGGCTGCATTTGAACTAAATACACGACCAGGCACATCAAATTCCTTCAAGTACCCAACCTCTCTTACATCAGAGTCAATATTCTTGCATTTTGGTTGACATCACACAAAACATATATCAGCTTTTCAACAGATGTCCTCTTCACTGTCAGCCTGTAAACAAGATTTGTACATAAGTTTGGAACGTTCACTACCAACATTTGTTCCACTGGAAGTGCATATCACATCATACTTTGGTTCCTATCACACTGCAAGGTGTTCCTGTGAACTGGGAACTGTCACTCACTCATGTTCTATCATGCTCTATTTGGGAAAATTCCTGTTTGACATTTTTCAGTATTCTGACCTACACTGAACATCAAAACCTCGGAAAACATTTATAAATATCATAATTTACTTGAGAACACAGCCATTTCTTGGAATTCTTGTGCAGCAACACTTTTGGTTTTGGTTGTGTTTTGGACACTGTACCGTATTTGACATAATAAGCGCCCAGGACACTCTCAAAATTAGAAATAGGGGGCTCTTATTAGAATATTATTTTGTTGAAAAACAACAGAGTTGAAAGATCGTAAATTTCGTGGTTTATGCTGACAGCCTGAAATGTTAATATACAACAGATATATTTTTCCAGAATTTAATTTCCCATAATTAAGGATGCATATAACACACATATTATACACGAATAAATAAGTTTTGTGTACATTGATCAATCGGAAGGTTAATTGGGATTGTTCACTAGCCAATATATTAGCAAATATCGCCGTGGGTGCTTATTAGAGCGGGGCGCTTATTACGTTGAATACAGTATTCTATCTGTTGCTGTTTTTCCTTTATGCTTAATTAACTACCAATATTTGTTTCATGTTTTCCTCTTTTTATTACATTCTTTTGTTGTTCTTTTTGATTGTTTATTTTCTTTTGCAAACATATTTATCATACTTTCTTTAATATTCATGTTGCACTTTACAAAATACAGGAACATCACTAATAAACACACCCAAACATTTGTTCCTGTCAGCTGGAACTTTTCACTAAATACAGGGGTAGGAACATTTTCACTGCAACTGTTTGTAGTTTATCCTGATATTTTTACCGGTCGGAACAAAATTTTGGTGGAATAAAAAACGTCCTTATCAACAACCTCAGCATTGTGTCAGGGCATTTGCAAGGAACAAGTTGTCTCCAGCTGTCCGTGGAGGTCCCAGAATATGTCTACAAATTGTTATCTGCAAGAGCTATACCCAGATCTAGAGGGTCTATACTCCCTGGGCCCGATGGTTGCTGCCCAGTCCTTAGTTTCCCAGTAACCATTCACCCTCTTTGACTGAGAACAAAAAGGGAGGGTGGGGAGAATTTCAGTGACACTAACCTAATGAGGAAAGTTGACCTTTGATCCTGATGTTGGCATCAGGTGGGACAGATCATAGGTTAACATTTGGTCTACACTAGAATATCTGGAGGTGATCTATAGTCTGGAAGGTAATTTAAGGTACCGATGTTTACTACAATATCTGAAAAACTATTTGACCTACTCCAGTCAAAGTTGGTATGAGATTATTGCATGGAAATCATGCACGTTGAGACGCCCAACGCTAACACCGTATTCGTGCGTGCGTGATTGGTTCAACTGTGTAATATGGCCCTGTGATGCAGGGGTAGCATTATGCAGATGGCTGTTACAATGAATGCTCGTTCCACCCGTGACGAACAAGTCTGGTTGTTGATGAAATATAGTGATAGCTCAACAGACAGATTTTTTATTCATGCACCGATTGTAAATGTAATATCCAGTTATGTATGACTGTTTAATAATCTCATACCAACTTTGACTGGAGTAGGTCCGATAGTTTTTCCGATATTGTAGTAAATGTCGTTACCTTAAATTACCTTCCAGACTATATGGGTCAACGGAAGTGACGACAGCACAACCGGTTGTCAGCACCGGAAGTAAGGTCATAGAAGGAAGTGACATCAAGCTGCCTACAGTGATGCCATTGGAACCAAATAAGATCACTGATAGAAGGGTATTTACAGTGCAAGTATTAAATTACTGTGCATTTTCTTAAACGTTTTTATGTGTTCATATATGTCATTACTGTCAGCTATCCTGAATAACTCTACACGTCAAAAGTATCGCAACACCAAGCTCTTTTAAAACTCAGAAATGAGATGAGCATGGAGAGGCTGGAAAGCAAAACAAATGCAATCAAAAGTGTTACTTTATGTCAAATAAGGTTCATGTTATGAATAATAGGAAAAATAAGCATTTGGAAAGAAAGCAACTTTATTTGCCCGCGACCCAAGAATTGTAATTGGGGATAAATGCAGGCAGAATAAGTATGGTAACTGTCAGGAATGAGGTGGACAGATCAACACATACATGTTTTAGTAACGTTGTACCCATGTCACAGTTAAATGATCAACGGTGTAAGTCAATATCTGGTGTTGCCACCCCGTACACAGGGCACATCCACAAGACGTCTCCGCATGTTGAGGGATTGTTGCCATTCATGATGCAATGCCTGGGACAATTCTTGGAGATTTTGTACTGGAGGTTCTCTTGCTCTTACCCTACGCACCAACTGATCCCATAGATAGATTGGATTTAGGTCTGGGTTTCCAAAAGGCCAATGCAGAGTCTCGGTGGTGTTGTTCTGGAGGTGGTCAGTACCAGCTCGTGCTCGGTGCATCCATGAAGACAGGACGTGTGGGAAGTGCATGGCTATCAACATGAGGCACAACAAAACCTTGGTACATTTGTCCAATTAATGTCCTCTGAACTGTGACCAAATCAAATTTACAATCCAAGGAGCAACATCCCCATACCATCACTGAGCCACCACCACTTGCCACTGTTTTCTGGATGATGCGTTGATGATAAGATGTTATAAAAAATTACTCTCGTCAGACCAGTGAATCCTCCTCCTCAATGACTTCAAGTTCCCATGTGCTCGAACCTGACACCAGACTAAAGGGTCACGCATGTTGTGGGGGGTGAGAGGAGTGGACATCTTATTAGTCTTCTGGCCCTTATGGCCTCTGTTGTGGTTATGCCAGAGACGAACAGTGCAAGTTGAAGTTGATCTAGACTACCAGTTGTCGGACTTTCATTTTGTGGAAGCCTTGGTGGCTGAGTGGGTTAGATCACTGACTTTGTGTGCTGGCGATTAGGTGCCTCACCCTGGCAGGTGTGGGTTCGAATCCCGGACGGGACTCAACCCAAAAAAGTACGAGAATCTGTACTTAAGTCAAAAAAAATTATCCCAAATATAACTTGTCTTACATGAAAGTCTGGTAAGGCATCTGAGAATATCAATGCAATATGTCATGGAAAGAAAGCTAAAGGTGTGTTGTTCCACCAGGACAATGCACATATGTGCATGACTGTGGCTTTG